GCATGAAAATGTTCATACCTGAGGTCTATGAAAGCCAATTCTGTCTATATGCTTAGAAATCACTTCACTTAGAAACTCTCAAACAGGTGTATCTTGAAACAAAGCCTCTTTTTTTAAATTGATGTGTGAACATTTTGTAAATGTAGGTTATTAAAAGTTGCAGACCAAAAGAAAAGATACTTTGCAGACACTGTAGATTCAGACGCCCCTGGGTGCCAAATGATTTTCTGTTTCAGAGCTACTTGATAGCTTTACCTCGTGCTCTGATTTTTAAACCAACCAACTCTTCTCAGTTTTTAGTTTCTTGGGAAATAGCAAGATTAACAGACGCTTAGGAGAACAACTTTTGATTCAGAAGTGACTCAACTTTCAGTTATCGACCTCGATCTTTACTCTTGAACCTAATATTGAAAAACTGTATTCCAGTTGATTTTTATTGAATAGTGCCAGTGGCTATGGAGGCAAGGCAGCTAATGGAGAGAGTTTAGAGGCCATTCAAGAAGGTCTGATGTAAAAGAATCTGCCATTTAACATAATAAGAAGTGGTCAGTTGTAATGGACTGTTGGCTCTGATCATTGCGGAGCATTCCTCTGTGTCAAATCTTTATGACTAAAATATTTTGAGTACTACGTTAGACCAACTGCATATGCTGTTTTATTATGGATGCCTCTAGGCTACTTTTTGCATTACTTTAGTGTAGGAAGTAGAGCTGTACAGCTATTTAGAAAGATATGACTGTGCAGTGATGCAAGATCAGTGATGACTCTATCAATCACGTCTTGCTTAAGGGCGAACACGTCCACATTTTCTCAGCCTGGGCTTGGATCTTTCCGTCTATGCAGCGCTCCAGCTCCCTGTGTCATCGTTGGAACCTAAATGCGTCATGGATGTTAAATGACTTTCATATTTATTGGGGGGAAAGGGATTTTAGGGGGTTGTTTCTTCTGTGGCAGGAAAAACAGATGGAGTGCTTTGCAGAGTTTTCAATGTTCAGTTGCTTTAAAAGGGAGCACACTACCTCCCAGCAGATGTTTACATTGCTCATAAAAGGTAAGATAAACTCGTAGTTTATCCAAAGCAGTGCAGAAACAGCTTTTTCTTAATGTCAGTATTTCACAGTATTATCCTTTACTGCTCACTAATCATTGGGATTAAATTCAGCATACACTACTGCAAAACTTGACCTGAATATCCTTTTATTGGTAAATTATTGGTAAATAAGTTTCCATAAAATCCATTAACATACAACAGGTATTTCAATTTATGTTCTGAGATCTAATATGTAACAGAATAAAATGAGTGATGATAAAATTAGTTTCTTTCTGAAATGTACAGAAATCATAATGTTTTCTCCCCACCACTACTTTCCCCTTGTGTTTCACTTGAGTCTTTGTACCACTGGGTGGCGACGCAGGACTTCCACTGTTTGGTAAAGTCCAGATGAGAAGACAGCAGAAAGATGCCAGAGCAGAGGCTTTCCAGGGTCATGATGAACTTCAGAAGAGTTTTAATTTAAAGATCTATAATGCACACTTGTAAGTTTTGTTTTTTATTACTGCACTCTTTGAAAACATTTTAAAGCATGTAGGTCGATTAATGAATCTTTTATATTGTTAAGCAAATGTTCTCTTTTTTGTGTGTCTATATTTAACATGCTATTTAAGACTGAATTTTGTATCATATTGTATGATCAAAAGCCTTTCAAAGTATATAAGGATTTATTAATAACTTCCCCATGTTGTGTTTTGATTGTATGTGCCTCCATTATTTGGTGATTGTAATTTGTTTTACTCACAACTCCTCTCTGCTGCTTTCGGGCTTTGCAATAGTCTTCCGTCCCATAAGTCCTGTCTCACAATGAACAATACTGTAAATATTACTTACATTTTTTTGCATTGCTTTTAGTTCAGTCTGAGATTGTTTCACGATTCTATTAGTATCCATTTATTTGTTTATCTTGTTTTTTATTCTTTCGCTGAATTGTATGTATGATTGTAAAACACTCATATCAACTCCTTTTGTTCTTAAATATGCTATATGAAGTAATAAGACTTGACTTGACTAATGTATTAATATATTACGCAAAATGGGGGGGGGGGGTATTGTTTTATGTACACACAGTACCTGCGGCATGTAAATGTAGAATAATGTGCTTTAGATTGGTAGTATTCATACAGTGTATTGGATGAGTGGGAAATAGCTGATTATTTGTTTTTAGTTCCATAAGATGATATACAAAGTCAGACCAATTGCAGTCTTAGAATAAGATAAGGGCAAACAGCAAAATCAGAGGGGGATCTCCCAATAGAATTAAGAGTCAAAAACAAACATGTATACAAAATATATAACAGCTAATGTTTGTGTAAATTAATTAGCAATTACGCTTACACATACAATCTTCTAATCTAGATAATGTATTAAATTATTGGCCAAAAGTTTTAAAATATGAAGTATGCTTTTGCAATTTAAAAATACACCTTGTTTCAAATATGTCTGCAGTATAATGACGATGATAGTACACATATCTTTTAGTTTGGAGGGGGAGGGACCGGAACGAGGACGGACCGTGAAGCTCCTCCTGTCCGGAGTCACCCCAGGCAACCAAACGTTTCCATGGAGACGTTGCCACCGAGCAGAGTTGAACGCGAAGCGGAGGATGAGCGGCTGGCTTCCGACCTGAGGTGAGACTTTTACCCAGGCTCCACTAACTCACATGGACTTCACCCAGTGCAGACGATTCAGTGAGAGACACGTTTTATTTGAACTGAATAAAACTCGAAGGATTTGCTCCCAGTGTGGACAAGTGACAGTTCTGTCTGAGTAAACCACTTCATGCGCTGACTAACTTGTGGAAGAGGCTAGCTAGCTACCGTGCGAGCTAACTAGCAACAGCACCAACGGATATCAACTTCCATTGGAAAGTTATTGAGGCCCGAGCACTGACAGAGCAAAGTTCAAACCCCTTCTGATGCACAACACGGGTGAAAAATGACCTGTATTCATGTCCTGTGTTATTTCATGCATGGCTGTACAGAAACGTATTGCATTCAATTGAAAAGAAAACTCTGGTCCTGACTGTTCACTCACTCAGTATCAAGCATATTTACTGAATCATTTTGGAGAAATTCAGCTCAAAGTTCATTATTTTGAATTGAAAAAGGCATTATGTGCAATATTTAC